AACTGAACAACTTCTGATGTTCGCTCTAGAACGGAAAAGTGACAACCCTGTAAACACAGAAATCAATGACAAAAGTGGCAACAAAGCTTTTGTCGATTTAAAATATTTCACAATTCTAAAATATTTTTCCGTGGCTCGCAAAAATCTTCGTCAATATGTATGCATGTTCATATAAAACATACATACCTAAAATGATTTGTGGGCAAAGCTGTTAGAGGGCAAGGGAAGCGATGACAATCGGCGAGCGTTCGGTTATTTTTCGGCATCCTCGGATTTTCTACCAACAACACAATGTTGTGACGCTTTGTCGTCGCGTAAGTCCTTCGACAGATTGATCTTTGACATAAAAGCGAAGAACGTGAGCTTCGCTCATTGGTTGACACCGTGTCACGGAGATTTCACATGAAGTAATGAGTGTTCATATCTACATACATATGTTGTTTGTAGACAAATTTACATATATTTTTACACATGATATAAAAATGCCGACGGCAAAACACAATTCTGTACTTATATGACTCCATAATGGTGTCAAGCACTTGAATTATTTTAAGAAATATATCAAAATATGTTTATATTATTATTAATAACTCACAAGAAAGTAAAAATGAATTAACAAAAAATAATTTAAAAATAATAATAAATAATAGTTCAATAAAAGGGAATATGTTTCAAATAGCATATCAATATTCCCAGTTTGGCATACATATACATATATTCTCTTCAATATTCGCCGTTTGGTTATGTTAAGAGAGTGTATGTTTACAGATTCACCGCTGTTATAAAAGCGAGAAATGTTATTTGTTTCTCGTGCATGTGAGGTGAACTCCTTGATAAAATCCTACAAATTGTTCGCTATCGAACCTGCACCTTCTCGTTGTTTTAAGTTCTCTGGTTAAGAGAGCTGTATTTGTACAGATTCTCCGCTGTTATAATAGCGAAAAATGTTACTGATTGCTGCTTGTGAGGTGAATTCCCCGACTGAAATTTTACAAATGTTCGCTGTCGAACCTGCACCTTCACATGTACAATGGATGCTCTCAATATATACTCATCATATGTATATATGAAATACGTATGTACAGATTGGTTGAAAAATTGGTACGAAATATATATTTTTATTCAATATAATCGCTCTTAACTTCAATACACTTATTCCAATGATCCTCCAATAATTTTATGTTATTGTTACAGGTTTCTAAAGAGGGAGTAGTCGCTAGAAGCCAAATCTGGTGAATATGGTGGATGCTCGTGCAATTCGTACTTTAATTCGTTGAATTTTGTCATTGTTGAAACATCGTTGTAAGCAGGTGCAATGTCTTGATAAAAAATGATTTTTAGTCTGCAAACCACGTCTTTCTCACGAATTTTTTTATCTAGCTGATTCATAACCTTTTTTTGCTCCTCGTTGTGACTTCACTTGCATTGAAGCTGAACAGCCAGCATAGCCAGCTTCAGTCCACTATAAACGTTCTTGTTTCAATTTAGGATCGTGGTGGTAGATTCAAGTCTCATCCATAGTTATAAAACGACGCAAGAAATCGGTTTTATTTTACTTAAAACGCTCCAAATTATGCTGAGATATTTCTTTTCGATCCAGTTTTTGTTGAATTGTTAGTGCGGCACTAACTCTCCAAATAGCTTTTTCATATGTAATTCTTCCTGTAAAATATGAAATACTCGTTCGTCTCAGATGCCTATGGCATTAGCAATTTCAGACTTAGTCAAACTTGGGTGGATCGTCTTCAAGCTTAGTACGGCCACGTTTAAATTTACCAGCCACAAAAACTCAACGGTGCGTTTTGAGGGTGAGGACTCCTTATACACTTTTAACAATTGTTCATAAATTTCCTTTGCTTTTAAACCTATCAAAACAAAGAATCTAATCACTCCGCGATATTAATTTTTTTCCATATGAAAAAAATACTCTGACTCGTCAACTTCAAATGGCTTGTAAACAAAGAATTAATTGACAGAATGACTTGTAACCTTGCATGTGTTCTCACGACAGATGTACCAATTCTATAAAAAAAAAACAAGAGAGAGATTATATAGATAGGTGTAATAAAATTGACAAATATTTATAATCATTGATTTATCAATAGTTCATCAACTATATATGGCGCGTTTTTTGATCGGAGGCACCGGTTGACCTGAAGTGATGCTGTGACTGCGCGCTCTAAGCCTCTATCTCGAAAACGTTAACCGTAATGAAAAAATTTTTAACAAAATTTGTAGAGAATTTGTATTCTACAATATTGATAAATAAATACCAATACCAAAAACCCATAGGAAATGAGATATTTACAAAAAAGCGCAAAAACCGATTTTTGTGACCTTTGACCTTGAAATTTAATAGTTGCGTACACCCTACCATATGTAGGTTTTGAGACAACTTTTAGGGTGTCAATTACAAGTATTTACAGACTTACAGCGGGTATCTGATTCCGAGGGGAACTTACTATAATGACTGGACTATTCTTACTGTGACCTCTGCGGTTTTCAATTACTGAAAAAACGGCTATTCTATACCATGTTATCGCAAAACAATAAATTTCCATTAGTTTCCTGTTATTTATCTATGATTAAAAACAGTAGTGAAGGTACCCCGGCACAGTTGGAAACATTGGAGACCAAGTACGAGGTGTGTTCAAAAAATTACGAGAATATACAGGTGGTTGAAAAGTGAGTAGTGGCACCAATAAATAGCGCTACTCAGCTTCAT